TCAGAGGCGCTGTTAGCGTTGTAGAGATATCTTTAAACGATTGCAAATTATATACCGGCTGTAATTAGATCTGTTCCAAAAGGAATTTCACTAACAACACACAATAAGATGCAAGTAGTTTTCCGTTGCAGAAGGGTAGCTGATTTTCGAACGGAAAAACGCACTACTCGGGCTTATCATATTTTGATGAAGGTCAAAGCTCATGTTGGAACTGACCTATTAATCTAGCATGACTAAAGTCAGGAGTGCCCAGGAGGTTCCATGGCGCAAGCAGCGCCATCAAAATTTATAAGGAGGGAAAAAGGGAAAACATGTAACAGACCACAACATGTATAATTGTACATGATTTGCGATTTACCACCAGGATCGATTTACTATTGATACCACTGAATAACAGAATTTTTTTATGATACATAAATACCAAAAAGGCTTCATTTGGTTTTCAATAGAAAAAGATTACAGCCATATTTAAGTCAACATCATAAACAATGTATATTAAAAAGATATATAGTTTTGCGGAATATATAAAATAAATCAATGGCGAATAAATAAACGTAATTTTTACAATGTAAAAACATTTTTCCAGAAGCAAGTGTTCAGACAGACAAAAAAAGAAATTCAATTCATACGACGTATGACATTCGAATAAAAGTGGAGAAGGGTCCTTATGGAATCCTGAGAATAAAATTGAGCTTTATGCTCCAAACTTAATTAAATACACACACACACCTATTCACATATTCATATGGTATTTTGTAGAACTATATTATTTTTTATTTGAAGGAGATGATTGAATAACTTTTAAATGTTCATAAGTATGCCTATTATAATATCAACCAAATCAAAAATATTATTTTAATGATTAGTAACAAAAATATTTCCTTAGATTTTTTTTTTTATTTCCTTAGATTCACTCACTAAATTATTCGCCTAGTTAGTCTCCTAGCCACTCCTGGTGTGTCCATGGTGTGTCGATTATACGCTACATCTTTAACACTGGATGAGTAGTCTGATCCACCTCAAAAGTGGAAGACTAGAAACTCTAGATTTTTAACAGAAAAGTGGAAAGATCTCTGATCATTCTTCGGCCTTGTTATCAATAGAGGAGAACAGTGGTAAAAATAATGATGATGTATGTGACGTGTAACGATATAGTTATCACAACAGTGACATAATTAAATTTACTTTCTCGACTGTTGGAAGATCATTTTGTGGAAGATATACCACTTGCTCTATAAATTATACAGATAAATAAATCTGACCAATCAGGTGTGCCCGGAAAGGAGCTGCGGAGTCCAAATTTTTGATAGAACACATTTTTACGGAATTTTGATTGGAGCTCTAATTGATTTTTATAGGGAACGCAATTTTAGAAGAGTTTCAATATAGAAGAACATGGGGCTTAATTTTACTAGGAGAGGGAGAGATTTAATTTTATTTGCACCATTTTTAAGAAGAGGAGAGTAATATATCTTCTTTGGAGGAGAGGAGTCGTGATCCATCAGTCAGGACATACGCGAGATGGACAACCCTGTGACCAATTATTTGATTGCTTAGTAAATTATACCAGAAAATTAAATGGTGAATATAATATAATAACAAAGACAGAATCCACTCAATATTTTAACAAAATTCAATCATCAAAACAATTAGTAATGACTAACATTCATGGATAACATCAAAATTGATTTTTTTGTAATTAAGTATTACTTGCAAGTCAATCTAAATCAAGATGGATTTAATCCACTTTTAAGGAATGTGATGATTGTTATAAAACAGGTATTAATGTTGTTAGGTGGATTATACCTAGTGACACGCCTAATCGCCAGTCTAGATATATCCATGATCTAAGGGTTCCATATGGAGTTATCTTTGTTCGCCTTGAGATCGTCTAACTTTGAATGAAACATCTCATTGCCAAGTACCATTTACCAAGAGTCATTATTATTATTCTACTTTATACCGCTACTCTATTGTCTTATACTGCCTGTGATCACGAGTAGAAGATTCGTGTATTTGTTAAATCATATAATTTCTGCATGTAACTAATTCAAAGTATTTTTACGATTTATATTTCGTGCTAGAGATCGGAATTGTAATGGCGGATTGAGAAATAATGTTCTTCGTGTGGGATGACGAAGGATAGCCTGGGGGTGTGATTACGATTCGACACTTGGAGCTACCTTACTATTACCTCCTAGCCTTAGTCATACCATAATAGTTGGCTTCTGAGATCTTTCTCTTGCCAAAAATTCCTTCAGAGGAAACGCAAAAGTTTGTTTATTCCAGAATCTTCAAAAAAGAACTTACTCCGTATGATTAATAATTTTCGAAACGAATGGTGAAATATCAGTCAATAAATGGCCATTGTTTATTATTAGAATGAATCATTGACTCTTTTTTATATCATTAAAAATTATTAATTATAAACACTCAGAAGAAATTAAGTAATCACATAAATGTTATTCGACGAGTAGTCATCAGAATGTAGAAGTATACCTACTGATATTATAACAAGATTTGATCATTGTTAATGCTTATCTATATTTTAACAAAACATTTAACATTTTAGCATTAGGATACTTTATATAATATGTTAATGCATATGTCACCTTAACCCTAAAATAATCTCAATAAATGGCAACAGTTAAAACAAACAATTAAAGAGCTTTATTCAATCTTTTAAAGGTATTGAAATCCGAGGTACTGCTTCGTTTCATACTTTCAGAATCAGTCTTTGATTCCAGAAACCGATCTATTAATCACTATGACAGCTTAACCCAATTAACTAACTGGGAATTAACGAATTGTTGTAGGAAGCATTAGAAAGTTTTGTTTCTAATGCTTTTGATGTCGGCTATACTGAAGGATATGATGTGACGCGTTTGTGGTGTCTCTCGACGTTATTGAATCACATTTTAATCAAACTCTGAAGCAGAATGCCCAGTATATTTTCCTGTAAATGTCACTTCGCTTCTTAGAAATTTCCCATGTATGACAATCTTTCTATTCTAAAATCTACAAGTATTGTTTTCCCTATCTTTTACATAATTATTGTTATTTAAAGAACTTTTTGAGGTAAGGATGTTAAGATGGGGTATGTAGTTCGGAACGATACATCTGGGAGCCTCTACACAACAATAAATGCCTCAATAATAGGCAAAAGGCACCTGAAAGGCAAAAAACACTTGGAAAGATCCAATCAACAAAGATACAATAGAGCTGCACGCAATTAACTAGGAAGAAATAGCCCAAGATTGGCAGGGTTGGAGAAGGCTGGCTAAAAAAATCCGCAAGATCTATAATGTCAACAGGGAAAAAAAATCTAGTAAAAAAGAAAAATCAAATCTAGAGAACTGGAGTCACTTGAGCCTCTCTTCGAGATGCATGTTGCCCCCATATTTATATGTGAAAAACATGTTTTATCTTAAACAATTAATCGAAGTATGCATTTTTTTTTCTATAACAATAATATTAATGACAATAAAAAGCATTCCCTATTTGTACAGGTTGGATTATGGAAAAAAAATCAAAATAAATGAATTGGAAGAAGATCTACAATCCAGAATTATCATCCGAAAAGTAGATATTACGCCTGAAACCTGTTAAATATAAATAAACAAAATGTATTGATATTACAATTGTAGGATAATTATTAAATTATTACTAGCTTTACCTGCCTTAAATTTGTATTATATGTACATGCCTGTTTCATACTCATTATAGTACCCGATCATCACATTGACTAAAGAGGCGTCTAACCAATCTCTAAAATCTCTATAAAGACTTCTTGAGTTTTATTTTGTGTTTTAAAGATGTTTTAAATTATTTAAAAGAACTTAGTCCTTCATTGTAATCGATCGGTTCCATCGATAGATTGAATCCTGTAGCGATTTAAGCTGAGAGTTGGGTTGCACAGTTGCAATGTAAAGTAAATCGATAAATGACAACACTGAGGTTATATATCCAGTCGGTCCTTCGATTCCAAAAGTGATTCAATCACTGAATAATGGAACGCGATGAATTCTATTTATGGGCCCATCACTGAGTTTAGATGATAGATGGGCCTGATGCCCATAAATAAGCTCAGCGCTGAGTTTAAAAACTTTCCTTATATTTTTAATTCTCCCTGTTGTTTAAGTATATAGCGGTTTTCTCTGCCATCTGATCTAAATAAGGCAAAGTATACACATCCAAGGGTAAGTGTTATAATAAGTCGGCTCCACGGGCGGATCTGCGGGAGGGGGACTTTCGGGCTGAAGTCCTCCCTCCCCCCCCCCCCCCTCCGAAATGGTAAAATATAACCATGGTTTATGGAAAAATATATTAAAAAATTATATCTTAAAGTATTATTGTTCGTGTAATTACATTTTAAAGGACTTAAGGAATCACTTAAACACCATTTCATATAGATATTTAGTTTCTTTCTTTTTTTCGAAAGTAATTATCGTCATTTTTATGAAAAAAAAAAAGCTTTCGGGCTGAAGCCCCCCCTAAATTAAATTCTGGATCCGCTAGTGGTCGGCTCCTATTTGCTTAAACGTTTGTCCATTGCTTTATTAATTTCTATTTCATGATATTTGAATTATTCTTCAGAGGTCGTCATAAAGATCAGTTGGTTAAAACAAATGGGCATGAACTTCTTGAAGGGAAAACTCGCCGGCGGACAGTGGGAGGAGTAAGAGGAAACTCGTGACATCGACTAATATATATTTTTTTCAATTTAACTTTTCAAAAAAAACAGTGGAAAATGTATATTCTGACAACTGAACATATTCACAAGGTATCAATAAAACAGTTTTTAGTCTTTTAGTACTCTTTGGAGTTAAAAAAAAAAAAAATTAATCCGATGCCGCGAGTTTTCCCTTACTCGTCCCACTGTGCGCCGCGTAGACGAGGCAGTTCGCTAACTCCTCCAGACGAGGGTTGGAACAGAATGGTGGGGAGTGGATGACTCATGCTGGAACTGAAGAGGTGTAGGGTTCTGCAGTATCCGTCCAGTTCCCGTTCGGGCTGTGCCTTTCGGTTGTGATCTCTGTTAGCTCGCATTGTCGTAACAGCTTCTTCATTTTTCTAACATAGGTATGTTAATATTTTATAATGTATTTTAGTCATTTAATATTATGAACAATACTGTATTAAAGTATGTCATTTGGTGAGAATAACTTAAAGTTCTCTAACTCTCAATGTTTGTGTTTATAATTTTATTTATACACACACCCAAATTATATATTTAATATATAATAATAAATGTATAGTATAGTTATAATTTTTAAATTAATTCTTTGTTTCTTTCCTGTCATAAAATTCAAGCCTATTCATATCAAATGATCATCTTAGTACATGTCAGCAGTTTAAACTTTTATGGATTATTTAAAATAATTTTTAACAGCTCCTGTGAAAGTTTTGAACAAAAAAAATTGTATGAACTTTTTTATAATAAAGTTCTAGACTTATGGCCAAAGTCTAACTTGTATTAATACAAGTCCTTCAAAACATTACGTTAATTAAAAATAAATAGTAATTAGGCTTAGATTAAAGTTATAATCCATCTTAAACGAATTAATTGATCCTAGGATGTCGTTTTATTGTACAGCATAGGATGAAAGTCGTTTTTTAGCAAAATTAACTGAAATTTTAAACAAAAGTTTTTAAAAATAAAAGTTCTGTGAAACTATTGCTTGAAAAGTTAACAGCTAAAAATGTTCTAGTTCCAAAATAACAGAAAATAAAGATTCCAATCATACCGGAACTTATTAAAAATAAAAGTTAAAATTTCATTCCAACCCTTGGTTACAACGTTACCATATATTCAATATTAAATATTAACGTATATTAAATATGTATGAAAAAAATGTCAATTATGTAATAAAGCATGTCTAGTTGAATGTATAAACATTAAAATTTGAATAAATATATAAACAGATATTTTTTTTTTCTCGTTCTTCACTACCTTGCCTTTTAGGCTATACGGGATTTTCCCGAGCCGGAGGGTGAAGGCGGGAAATTTAAAATCCCCTCCGGCACCGGGAAGCGAACTTCCGAACTACTTTTTTTAATCTCATAACTTCCGGTTATCTAGTTGCCGGGCAACTCACAGTGCTGTCCACACGCGTTATAAGCCTATTCGGCAATCCCACCACCCTATATAAACAGACATGTACAATCATAGATGTCTTTCTTGTGTATATATAAGAAATAAAAGTGAACAAAAAATTATTATGGGACAAAGTTCCTTAAGGATAACAGATGTAAAAGACAAAAAAACGTTTCAAGACAAAAGGCATAATCTGATAAATGGCATAGTAAAAACTATTTTGGCAAATATTATTAAACTAACAATACAATAAAAAATACGATCAAGGAAGTAAGGTTATTTAAGTAAATAAAGATTGGCAAAGCTACCTCAATTTAATTTTTTTGGAGTCCCTTTAGTCTAACGAGATTGTCCTGAAAACATTATTCAGTATTTGAAGTTTATTTATAACCCCTGCTTATTGTCATAAAGTATACCTTTTCGTTCAAAGTGTACTTAGAGATGTTTCAACAACCTTTGAGAATGAAAGTCGGTTTGAGTATAAACTTAGTAAAGTACACAGCGATGTATAAATTGGGTGAATCTAAAACTCCTAATTAACATTTTCAGTCTTATTTTTTGTTTATTTTGCATGTAAGTAGAACTATAACAATTTTGAAAGATTGTTATTTAAGATACTATGATATCACCTTTCGAAATATTAGAGCGAATACTACAATTAGGTACTCTAACTACTATTACATTTATAAAAATTAATACGTTTTTCTGCTGGATAATTTATTTATTTTGTAATACTATGCACCTTGTGGTCAGAACAGCAATTACCTTGTTGTAGTGTTGTATATTGAGGATTTAGCTTAATGAAACATTTCTTTGGTGCTTTCCATATTTTTCAAAATTTCTGGTTACCTAATTATAATACTTGCCCAATAAATTGCATCTGTTATTTGATATTAGATTTGATCTTAATCATTTGCACCATATATGTCCGGAAATAGTACAATGCCTTCTTGAAAAGTATACAAAGTTACTTTTTTTTTTGGTAGTTATTATACAGTTATATTAAAGGTATATATTTATTTATTTTATTAAAAAAAACAGAACAAATTTAAATTTATATGCAATGCGAAAAGATTCATGCTCCATTATTTGAACAATAAAGAACACACTGATTTTTCCCGGAAGGGATTGACTTAAAAACAGTTTGTCTTAAAAACAACTAACCACACATCATTTTTAATTTTATTTTTTAATTATTAATTTAATGGAAATTCATGCTATTTATCAATAAAACATGAATATTAAAATCACATATATTTAAATTAAAAAATAAATAATGGATAACGTTTAATTTTAAACTAAAATTTATGTGGTTTTTTTCCATCCTCACACATATCACCCTTAACTAGCAATGTTTTTATATGTTGTACAAAAACAAGTCCTCTCGTATCATATTAATTTTTATTGTTATCAAATAGCGAAATGGCAAATATAAGAATATTTCTATTTAAATATATTTAATTTATTATTTTCTTTTAAATATGTAATTTATATATTCCATGTTCTATAAATAATAAAAACCGTGTTGACAGGAACTCGCTCCTATTGACATACTGACCGAAGACCAAGCAGACTGACCTCGACAATTGATCCTAGGTTGTTTCGAGTGTGACGATTCCAGCGACCTGAAATAGACAGTTGAAGAGTTCTATCTTTACGATATTAAAAGCATGAAAATCGCTTTAAGACTTTACTTTGCTGCAATCGTAAACAGAGATTTACTAGTTCGAAAAAACGAAAAAAAAATAATGAAATAGTTTCAGTTGAACAGCTGCCTTTGAAACGGTAAATATTTATTAGCCGTTACCCAGTTTTAGAATTCCCTGAAAATAGATTTGATTTTAGATTTACAGGAGCCTCTAAATTTAAGATTTAGAGTGAAAGACCTTTATTTCTCAGATTGATTATCTTAGCCAGTAATTGCGATCTTAGGTTATTTATTTTAATATTTTATTTATAGATGTAATATCATTAAAAACTTATTGGTTAAATGAACCACTTTGTCTAATCAATAATCGGTTCTTACCAAAATATGTTATAGACATGAAGAAACAAATATGATCCCATTTCTGTCTACTTGTCCAACAATGAAAAAATACTCGTTTGATTTGGCCCAAACTTAGAGAAAGGTTGGAATCAGAGATAAAATGATGCTGTATCAGTTTTATCGAACTCCATGCTATACTTCCTCTTGCATATAAACAAACGTATTTTCCTTGATTCTTCCATATCTTGAAAATCGCAAGTTTGAACCCTAAGTTGGAGAAAAGTTGGTGGAAAAAATGGTCAAGTATTAGAAAACTTTTGTGTGAGCTTTTTGATCATACTTAGCCGTTCATCCTATACGTTTGAAAAAATAAATTGAGACCGGTTCTTGTTAATCACTAGAAACAATCAGTAACCATAAACAATACGACATCATTTGTTATTTTTCATAAAGGTATGAATTTCCTATTCCATGAATTTAAAGGTATCTTTATCCATTCCTAAACAAATATTTATAACTACTTTTATTCTCAAAAGCTAGTTCTTGAAGCGAATAGTGGTGGATTTCTCTAAACTCACGCTGTTCAACTCTATGTTTAACTCACAAAATACAGTAGCTGCAGCTACAATTTTATACACAGCTGTAATTACAATAATATTTGAAAAAAAATCGTTTATGCAGTCGAATTTTATTTTACAGAAGATTTTTATCAAAGAACTATTACAATATGATGCAAATCTCAAACTAAAACTCACGCGTATAATGGTCCATAGTTTCAACAGTTTATCTCGGAGATTAAAATGTTTAAAATATTAAGGATAATGTTTAAACATATTTACTATTTATTTTGATACATACATAACTTTAATATAAGAACATTAGAATTAAAAAAAATATCTTGAATTTCATTAAAAAGATTTTTAAATTAATATCAAAATATTTTTTAGTCTTGAAAAAAAAGTATTTAGATGCCTTAGGTACTTATCTTCTACATGGAATTCGTTATTATCTTTCCAATTATTTATATTGAAAAGTAAAAATAGACTGTTATTATCATCAAACTCTGTTATCAATAGAACCATTATATTATTTTTCACCTCCCTTTTATAGACCTTTTTATATAGCTTATGTTAAACAGTGTAATTCTGTTTCGCAAATATACAATAGGTTCTTGTTGAAGCTGAATTCCATTCTTATCTTTATTAGGAGCCAATTCTGCGTTTGTTCTCCTGTTACTAATTTGTTTTTTACCAGTGACTTTTCAATATCTGATCAGAGTAAAATGATTGTTTTGTTAAAACATTCCTTCGAGTTTTAATTGTCAGAAAAAAACAATCAACTATTTATTTAGATGAGAAAAATACAAAGAACTAAAATATTTCAATGCTTAAATTCTAGAACACATAATACGTAAGCTGTTTGAGGATATTTGGTTAATACAAAAATCCGGTTTGGACTGTCGTTAAATCGATATGTGTAAAAACTAAATATATTCCATATTAGAAAATTGTAGTTAATATATTTATTTTTTATCATAAAAACTTTTTTAATGGATGAAAATACGAACATCTGAAAAATAAAATTGACAGCTGTGAGTCTGTGGTATCCGAAATGCGTCTTTTGGAACCATTTGAAGAGACCTGAAAGGCAAAAATAATTGGAACGTTGAAAATTTGACTCGATTTCCTACATCCACACCTTTCTTACGTAGTAGTGTCAGGGAAGTAAAGGAACTGTGCAGATTTTTTAAACTCCAGTACTTCTTTTGTTGGTTTTTAGTTAATTTTAATGCAACGTATGGCATATTTGAGGCGCCTGCAAATAAAAATGGATGATCCCAAAACCAAAAATTTTGTGAAAAAACATACAGAAGTATTAAATACTTGTTATTTATATATGTTCTTTATATTTCGTGTTTTGCTGTGAAAATGGAGTTAATGTTTTTTAGCTATATAATAAATTTTAATTAAAACTATATGATAAAAAAATATTAACTTA